CAGGAACCTGCACATGCCCCCCGCCTGCCACAAGGTCACCGCACGGCTGCCGCGGCACTCCAGGTAACCACACGGGTGCCACAGCACACCGCCACAGCCGGGGTGCATGGGTGATGGATGCGATTTCTCCCAAGGGGCCTCTAGTTCTTTTCCTTCCTACTGGAAGTCTCTCCAAAGGCTAACAAAGCAGTTTTCCTGAGGAATCATCGCTTTCCCAGTCTGCCGGCCACACCAGCTCTGGGCAGAGGCCAGAAGAGCTCTGCCGTCTTGCCCATCTGCCTGCCCGCCCCCCACGCAGCGATGTGCGCCCCAGCCCTGCTTCTCAGGCACGGGGGAAGGAAAACAGCTCCAGAGAGGCCGCGCTCAGAGCATCTCGTATCTTGTCACCACATCGCCAGGCGCCAGCAGTGCCCGTTCAGCACGCGTGAACAACCACCGTCACCCAAGGCCGCTTTCGGTTTCTCTATCCGTCCACACGGTGTACTCCTGCTGGGGATGCACTGGCAGACCAAGCTCCTCCAGGCTCCTTCAGCCACGGGAAAACCAACTAAAAGCGATTAAGTCCCGCCCTTGGAGAGCGTTAGCCGGCTGCCACGTTCCCCCCCTGCCGCCCCCCTCACCCCGCCTGAAGCTGCCTTCCATGCAGGCACAGCTCCTTGTAAGAGGATTTAGCTCCGGTGTCTTTCCACCCACTGCAGAACAAGAAATGTTTCATCTGACACACTTTGCTCCCCAGGAGAAGATCACTTTTACCACAAGGAGAAATACCAATTTCACTAGCTTTCCATACATCCCCCATGCCTTTTTGCACGAGTCTGGGTGAAGTTAATGTATTTCTATCTACTTACTGTCACTATTGATTCTGCATATCTAAACCCATTCAGCTAAGACAAAGGTGCCCGAGTTTGTGTGTCAGGAGCACGAGTGCATGCGCAGGTATTACAAGCACCGGGAAATACTGCAGAATGTGATTTCACCCTGTTTATAATCCCCCTTTCTGGGGCAGACATAGCCAAATGGACTAAGTTACCTCAATCCAACCTCTGCTTGGAACAGAAGACATCGTCCTCCAATTTATACTCATGCATAATTAAAACCCAACTAATTATAAGTCCAGATGCAACAAAATTCCCAAGTCTTGTTATCAAAAACACTTTAACTGCAGTCAAAATGCATTTAAACCTCATGGGCATGGATGCTATGTAGCTTACTGTCTAGAAGAGTGAATTTATTAGAACAAAATAACTGTCAGTCACTCAATGATAAGCGCTGGTGCTTGCTGCACGCACTACCCAGGCTGTGGTCAAAAAGGGATGCCCGTAGGAAGCCAATAACCATTTTTTCTTCAAATAATTCCACAGCTTTTGGAAAAGTCAGGCACATATTTTTAACTACACCCCACTGTTCCCCAAGGCACAGGGCAGGAGGCAGGCAGGAGGCAGGCAGGAGGCAGGCAGGCTCCTGCCCGCAGCCACCCCTGCTCCCCGGGCCAGCTGCCTGCAGGCCGAGCCCCTGCAAACCCGGACAGGCGTTTTGGGGTTCAAACCTGCGCCTGCTTCTTCACAGCTAAAATAACGGGATCCCGACGGTGGGACCTGGACAGAGACGGATCTCCTGCCTGCCTGGGCGCTTGGGGCTGCAGACTTGCCTCTTGCCCTGCTCCCTGCGTTAGCTGCTACATTTGAGGAGAAATAAAACACATTTGTGCTGTACATAATGCCAAAACCAGTTTAGCAGACATAAGAAAGCCAAAGAGCCACTATACAGGCTTTCCTGCTCTTTCTTTTGGGGTTCTCCCCTCTTTTTGTACAGGCAAAACAACCCACTCTGGTTGCTCCTCTCCTGCCAGTCCCATCTCGCTGCCCACACAGCCCGGCTCTCCGGTGGGGCGGCACTGCCTGTGCGGCATCGACCGCTGCCCAGGAGGCACAGACAGCGCACCCAGTAACCCCAGCGCACGGGCACCGGCCAGCGAGATGCCAGCCGGGAGAAGGAGGGGAAATGCTTTTGCCGCGTCTGTTTTAGGGCCTTCGAAGTTCAGCACCAAGCTGACACATTCCTACTGCCTTTGGGACACATCTCGACCTTTACCTTCCAACCACCAACAGACTGACTCCTGTATTCTGCTGCTACTGCAGTGGGCAGGACCTCTTCTTCCCTCCACAGCCCAAATTTATGGCTGCTGCAGTGGAGAAGGTGCTTTCAGCCTATTCCTCACGCTTACCCGAAGTCACTAAGGTCCACCAGGAGCCAGCCACTCGCCTCACATCCTGCTGACAGCCACAACCAGAGGCCACGGCTCTCCAGCCACGGCTTGGCCACCACATCACAGGCTTGCTACGGTCATCACAGCCCAGCTGGCACCCGGGACCACCACAGACAGGATGCAGCCCCAGCAGTTACTCTGCATTCAAGTTCTGCACAACACCCGAAGGGAGGAGACCTCCCAGCCCACCGCCTGGGACCCCGGCCCCACGGTGAGAAGAGGTTCTCCTCCCACTGCTGCAAGAGACTCGTGGATGCGGAGATCTGTGCCCAGGGCTCCTGGAGAGACAGGCGGGATGTGCTCCTGCTCCAGTGTGGCCCTAAAGCGAGGATTAAAACGCAGTGCCAGGTGGCACCCAGAAGCCAGACTGCTTTTCTTCACACTTCACTACCTGAAGCAGCACTACTACACCGATGGGCTACGAAACTGGCCCACTCAGAGATTTCAGCCTCCATAAAAGGAGATAAGAAGCAGCAGCAATCCCACCCCTGTGCAACCCCGGGGCAGGTGGGCCCATCCAAAGGCTCACCTTTCGCCACAGAAAAGTCTGATCATTAGAGATGATAATTACTGGGGCGGTGGGAGGAGATGGGGACAGCTATCCTACTCACTGGTTAAAACCCATCAACAAAACCCCTTCTTTCTGCCCTCCCCCTTCCACTTTGAGTCAGAAAGGAGGACGCTGCTCCAGCATCCCCACTGCAGGTCCAGGCAGCCCCCGGCCAAGCCACAGGTCTCTGGTTGATGGGATGGCAGTGGAACGCACACCAACCCTCGGAGACAGCTCCAGTGCTCCGGGGACCATTGGCCATCATTCACCCTTCCATCCTAGCAGGGACCAGCGGCAGGGCTGGGGCAGCAACAGCCTCCTGGAGCACCTTAAAGCCCGGGAGGAAACACCCGTCTGGTCCCTTCTTGGATCCACTGGGGCAGAGGGGGCGAAAAGAAGAAAAAAATCATGGAGGAAGGTTAGGGGGAAGAGAAAAAAAAAAAAAAAAGGTAAAAAAAAAAAGTGTACATCGTCCCTCCTGAGAAAGACAATCGGACTGTGAAAAGATGGAAAGTGCTGGCCTCTCGGCCTGACGGAAGAGATGGTCACTGTTTTGGCTGGAACTAGACACCAAGCAGGGCTTACGGACTCTTAATAGAGTTAGATGCCGGAATACTTTTGAAAATCTGGCTCCAATTTTCTGGGATGGCCACGTGAAACTAAAACTATGAAAATCAAGTTCAGAAGTCTCGCTTCATACATCTTCTGAGAAGAACTGGAGGTGAAGCTGGCCGTACTCCCACCCAGCACTAACCCCACAATTCATTTATGGAGCAGCCCGAACCCAAACCTCTCTTCTTCCCCCCAAGGCAGCGCGGCGCAGCGCCGGCCGGGGCGGCCCC